AGGTACATTGCAAGCCAGGCAAGTCAAAGTCCCTTATCTGTTTGTTCATTGGTAATCAGCTCCTGCTTCTGTTGATCTACAAACATGCACACATGAATACTGGTATTTATAAAAAGTGGGACAAAGATGCATTGTAGAGTGGGTTTATGGTCAAGACACTTTTGATCTTGACTATTCCTTAGGAGAGACTGACACACTATTCTTAAAAGACCCCCTGATTCCATTTATAGCATCAATGCCTAAATTAAGAGGTACCCAACAACAGAATAAGATTTTTAACTAGAAGGGTGGAGACAGAAGGGTAGGTGAATTGCGAGATCCACTGGAATCAACCATAAGTATTCCTGTGCTCTTCTGTGACTCAGTATGAGTGTGAAATTCTTTTTGAAAAGAAGTATATGCGTTCACTGAACATTTTTAATCAAAGACTTGTACTTTTCAAACTTTTATCAAGAAAGGGAAAACAAGATAATACTTACTGTGTTGATCATTATCATTAGAATTATATTAATGATTAAATAAATTCTGCTGCTTTTCTAATTATATAATTCAAGAAGTTAAGGATGCATTTTTTGTCAAATATTTATTTGATACTGAATTCCCCTTCCTTTTTCTTAGCACTTTATGATGATCCCTATTGCCAGCCAAATATGTAGTCCATACTAATAATAACTCTTTGTCTACCCATTAGTTAAAATTCTACTGCTACCGGACCTTTCTCTAGGGAGGATACTATTCAACAAAATCTGAAGCTACCTCATGTTAAAGAGATAATTCTACTCAATCTATCCACTTCAGTTCCCTCAATAAAACCAACAATATCCTAATAAGTAACACATGAGAATAGAAATCAAAATAAACATTTATGAATTTATCTGCAGCTGACAGCTTTATTAATCTCTGTAGCTGTTGTCATTTGATAAAGAACAGCATATAATAAAAATTCTGCAAATTACCTAATTAGGCATTCTGCAGCAGAAGCTCTGCTATTTTAAGAACCAGTAATCAGGTAAAAGACCAAAACAATAACATTTGTCTTGGAAAGGAACAGCTCTGTGAGAATCTTCCTCATTTATGATGATCTAGCTACAATCAAGGAAAGAATAATGATTCACACTCAATGGCAATATTCTGGCATGTAGCTACTATTACTAACACATGAAGAAGAATCCTGATGTTTGACAGGAAATCCTTCTTCCAAAAATACCCTGGAGCACATTTGTTACAGTATGAACAGAAATATATCCTAGAATCTGAAAGCACTCTTCATCAGGATAACAAGCAGGACTTGGAGGGGTTATCAGACTGTCTTCATTCCTTTTTCTTTTGAAAGAGAGACCTAACTAATTTCAGTAGAGCTGAATCCACGAGAAAGCCTTTCAGTGCAATTCCTTCCAAACACTAGTAATTCCTGAATCAGTTATGTATCTTGTCTAATGGGGTTGGTTTTTATGAGACTTTTCTCCCCTTATTCTGGGAAAAAAAAATGAAAAGTTCTTGTGAAACTGTGACTAAAAATGTTCACTTCCTTCGGTTGACAATAAATGGAGCCTAGGCTAAGTAGGTAACATTGCTAACACCTGATGTTAAGTGTGATGCCTAAAATGTATGTGTCTGTGTTAACTGGTAGTATACTATCAGTTACTGGTAGTAACTGTGGGGATCCTGGTGGACACTTGGTTGAACACAGGCCAAAAATGTGCCCTTGCTGAAAAGAAAGATAATGGTATCCTAAGCTGAATGAGGAGTATTGCCAGTAGGCTGAAGGAAATGATTCTACCCCTTTATTCTGTGCTGGTGAGCCATACTTGGAATATTGTGTCCAGTTCTGAGCTCCCCAGTAGAGAAGAGGTATGGACATATTGGAGAGAGTCCAGTCATGTCCAAGCCACAAGGATGATGAAGGGATTGGAGCACCTCTCCTGTGAGGAAATGCTGAGAAAGCTGGGACCATTTCACCAAGAGAAGAGAAGAGAAAAGAGAAGAGAAGAGAAGAGAAGAGAAGAGAAGAGAAGAGAAGAGAAGAGAAGAGAAGAGAAGAGAAGAGAAGAGAAGAGAAGAGAGAGAAGAGAAGAGAAGAGAAGAGAAGAGAAGAGAAGAGAAGAGAAGAGAAGAGAAGAGAAGAGAAGAGAAGAGAAGAGAAGAGAAGAGAAGAGAAGAGAAGAGAAGAGAAGAGAAGAGAAGAGAAGAGAAGAGAAGAGAAGAGAAGAGAAGAGGAGAAGAGAAGAGGAGAAGAGAAGAGAAGGCTCAGGGGGAATCCTACGTAAATTTCTGAAGGGAGGGTGCAAAGAAGGCAGAGCCACACTTTTTTTCAGTGATGCCCAGTGACAGGACCACAGATAATAAACTCCAACTATCTATTCTATTCTATTCTGTTCTATTCTATTCTAAACCTATCCTATCCTATCCTAAACTGAAACACAGAAGTTCCATCTGAATATCAGGAAATGTTTTTTCGCTGAGTGTGCTTGTTTGTGATCTGCTTGTTTGTCTTCAAGGTATGGTCAAATACTTTCCCATGGGTGTGTCATAGTTTGAAATTGGCCCCCCTTGAGAGTTCAAAGGGCTCAGAGGTGATTGGGTGCCAGGACAGTGTTCCCTGGAGAGCCAATCACCACTCATGTTTTTTGCTTCTGCTCAAAAATCATATATCACAGCACTGGAAGCTGTTGGCAGTGCAGTCTTGGTTGTTTTGCTGTTGGTGTCTGCTGCGTGTAGGTGGACAAGGCCGGGGGTGGCTGGGCTCCCTCTCTTTCCCTCTGGGGGAGAGAGGGGAGCCCTGTGACCCCTCAGCTCAACCTTTGGCTAGAGTTAGAGTCAGCATTTGGAGTGTGTGCTGTGAAGGAAGAGATTCACAGCACCTGAGGTAAGAGGAGAGAGGTAGGCTTTGCAGCCAAGCCCTCTCTTCCCCCCCCTTTTCTGCAGTGAAGCTGTAGAGGGGGGCTTTTTTTCTTTCCCTCCACTGTAAGTGGAGGAGGGGCTCAGAATTGAAGCTGAGCCAAGAGACTGGGCTGTGGAAGTAGGCCCGGCGCTCGGGAGAAGAGTCCCAGGCAAAATTGGAAACGAGCCAAGAGCTCGAGAGTTGCCTGCCGAAGCTGGCCGGAGGCAGCTGAGAACTGATGTGGAGGAATGAAGATTCCAGGATGTGGACGCTTGATAAGCTACACTGCAGCAGCCTATGAACTGAGGTGGGACACTGAGAGGGAGAAATCACTACAGCAGAAGAGCAAGGACTCAAAGCTATCTTCTCGGACTTCATGAGGAGGAGAGACTACGACAAACAACTGCTGGAACTTGGTGAGGAGGGAGTGTTCAGGAGCCCAGAACACTCCCACAGCAAAAGACTGTGTTACATATCAGCCTTAAAGGCTGCTCCTGGACTAAAGTTAAAGGAGGGGCTTGAAAGGACTGACTGATAGTAATGTTATATATATATATATATATATATATATAGTTGCCTTTATTTTGTATAGTATTTATTTGTGTAAATAAATGTATATACTTCCCCCTTCCCCTACAGAAGCCTCTGACCTGAAAGTTTCTCTTCGGTGTTAGGATAAATTGTTGAGAAGGGGTGGGGGAAGCCTAAAAATTGGATTTTAGATTTCTAATGTGGCTCAAACTGCCACAGGTGTAATTAAAGAACTTGCTAGAGAACTATGTAACAACGGCTACAGATTTGCTTGTTTGTTTTTTTGTTCATATCAATTTGAAATGTTCAAGTAGTTAATTAATTAATATCTGAGTCTGTTTGATATTAAATACTCATTAGTCTTTCTCATGAGAAGTCCTTGGTTCTCCCTTTGGTCTCATTGATGTTATTAGATCCCTTTAAGCAGAAGACAAACTGAATTGCTCGAGCGTCTGGATTAATAGGATGGATTGGTTTTATGTTCTCTAACATAATTTTCAGATACAAGGCATTTCTTCATTCTGCTTGAAATGCTTTGTTCACTGTTGTTATCTGACAATGCTAGAAAAGAACATTCATTACGTGAAGCTGAAATGTTACAATTCAAAGATTCTTTTCTCCAACACACAAAAATGTTTTAATTTTTGTGTAGTATTCAGGACAAATAGTATGTGTTAATATCTTAGTATTTTATATAGAATTTTATTGATAAATATTTTTATTTCCTTCTTAATTGTAATATTATAATGCTCTGAATATTGCCATTTTTCTTTTTAATTTTAGTTAGAGCTTTTGGCGGTTTCCTCTATGCCATAACATAGTAAAATGAGATATTAATCAGTAGACTTTTTAAAAAAAAAAGGTTTTCTTTTTTCTGGAGTATACTGTGTTCCTCTGTTTGCTTTAACTCTCTTTATTCTCTGAAAGTGTTAATGATGAACATATCTCTTTGGTTTTAAGTGCTTAATCTGTATATAATGTTAAAGCTTTTGATAGCAAACTACATTCAAGTGATTCTTTTCCAGAGCTTTCAGAGTATTCTCCATTTGTTCTATGAAAAAATAGCAGTTTTATTGCAGATAGTAGATGATATTAAACCCCATACAGATATTGAAGAAGAGACCATTTATATTATTTATACAATGAACCTGAGAATTTTAACTTTTCTAGTTTAGGCTACTAAATACATGTAAAGACATGAGTAATACCATAGAATTAAGAATGAATACAAGAAAAGTACTTTATTTTGTTTCTTATAGTGCATTTTGGTAAGAGAAGTGGATGCAAAAATAATATACATAATCCTATGGACAACAGAAATTCAGGAAAATGTAATTGACACAGGTACTGGGTTTCTCATGGCTACCTCAATTCATACATGCTTAATGGAAAAACAGAGGAGAAAATAAGCTGCATTACAAATATATAAGATCATCTTTTGCATTGAAAAAAGCATCTGGAACTATATTTTTTGGGATTTGATACTGGTCAAAGTTTTCAAAACATTCATTTTAGCACATTCAGAAGTATTTTATATCTTCTGAATTTCTCTGGACATAGTTTCATGGACTTTGTTTCAATTATCTAGGTTTCTCCAGAACTGGAAACAAACACAGAGATATCCTTTCACAACAGTCAAGCTTCAATTTGGTATTTCTGAAAAGATGAACTCTACTTTGAAGATCTGTGAGCTATGGACTTTGAAGATCTTCTGTTAACTGTTGACTTTCTTCAGTTGGGAAATACGTCCAGAGAAGCAAACCCTACCCCAGCAACGTATACGAAGTGACCATGTATTTTCATTCAGCTACATATCTGCATAAAATTCAGTTTGAGAAATCCCTTTGTGTTCTCTATTGCTGCTGGGTTTTTTGAGTCCAAAATAATGAAATGCTATGAGTAGAAAGGCTGGAGTTTTTTTTGAAAACATTTGCCAACATTAAAAACAATACAAAAAAAGATGAGATCTAGGCAAAAATAAAATCTTAAAATATTTTTTCATACTTTTGGACAGTAAAATGAGTACAAATGGCATTAGTAAAGCCTGCGAATTTGGTATTTAGTAACGATAATTTTACAATGCAAAACATAAGTATAATTTATAAATAAATGAAAAGATCAAGATGTTGTATATTATTTCTTATTTCTCATGGCTTTTTCTTCCCTTTTGATAATTTCACCTCTCCTAAATTCTGTATTTTTAAATGCTTAATCTGAGGAAGTGTGTACCCAAAGTAGTTCTTATCCGATGTAATGCACTATATATGAGAAATATAAAATAAACTAAATGTTCCTTTAGAAAGTATTATTTGACATTTATGCAGTAAAAATGTATTTGAATCTGACTTTCCCAAAAGCTACTCTTACTGTAATAACTTGGTATGTTTTGGAGCCAGAATGAGTCATCCTTTTTTTTTTTTGTTTCCAAATCTGTTTCCACAGTTTTTCATGCATTTCTCTCTGATATAAATGTGGACCTCTATTTCAAGCTTAGTTTAGTTAAATTCTTAAATGTATTGGATGATTGATTGGCTTGCTGGACTGAAGTCTACCATGAAAATTGGCATGACCTGACCTTGTAATGTTCCATCCCTCTGCCCTGTCATAGCAATTTGAATGAGACCCATATTTTAATAACCATTTATACTGTTCCCAAATTCCAAGCCCGGTCAGCTTGGCTATGGCCTTTACAATTACAAGTTGAATCGCTTCCTTCTGCTAAGGAATGGCTTTTACGCTACACTATAACCTGATATAGATTTTGCTGTATTTCCTTGCCTTTCAGATTAAGAGTGAGAAAAACACATATCACATCAATTATAACTTTATTCTTCTCCTATCCCTCCTCCTCCCATCTTATACTTTATGGTTTGATTGTTACTCTGTTGGTGTCTGGGCTGGTAGCAAAGTTAAATGTTCCAGATTCTGCCTCTCCCTTTCTTGTGCATAGCACTAACACAGAGCTTCTATTTCTCCAGTGTCTTCCACAAAGGTTTTAAGCCAAAATTAATAGCAAACTGGGAAGAAAGCCACGAATTTCCTTTGGTTTTGAAAGCACTGAGAGAAATTACTGAACAGAAATTTTAATTCTGATTCCTTCCTATCAAGGAATTGTGTGTTAGCTATAAGAAGGCTGAAAGAAAATTGCTGCCTATAACAAATATTTGTTCTATTAATATATCTTCTTTGCAGTGTCTTCCTTTCAGATAGACCCACTTAGACAACTCCTGTGAAAAAAGGCTGGGGCTGTCCCTTGGACAGCCAATTCCAACTGGCTTCAATGAAGCCAGTGCAGGGCACAGATGAGTCCACTGGCATTGATGGTAGTGCTTCTTGGAAAAATGTATTTCAGCAAAGGCAGAAAACACCACACAGGCAGAGAAAGATGGAACAAAAATAGTGAGAAACAACAGAAGGAACAGAAAAAAAGGAGGCCAAATTCCATGCAAAGGCAGATATTCCTTGTAGCCTGTGGGGGACCTGCACTGGAGGAAGCTTATCTTAGTCCAGCTATCTTTCTTTATAAGAAAATACCAACATGAGTCAACCTGAAGTATTTTATTATTCACATATGTCTAGTGAACAGGATTGAAAAGCATGAGGGAGAACACAAATTTTGTGGGATCTGAAAGGAACATATTGTAAAAAGAGAGTAGTGAAAAGTCTGACAATTCCCAATGCTCAGAGCAACAAAAATAATGGAATGAAATGGTAGTTCTTGTATCATATAATCATTATCAGCTCTATATGGGTGCTGTGTGAAGCTCCAGAAAGCTGGATCCCCTTCTGAAAACTCTAGACATGCTGAAACAGTGTCCACACAACAGCTTCTGTTTGTACAGGGTGGACTAGTTAATCAGCAGATGTCTCATGAACAAAGTAAACTAAGAAGAGACTAAACTATCAGTTTTTCTGAAGAAAACTTTCTTGAAAACGTTCCCACTATGTTGGAATTATTATGTCTTTGAGTTACTGACCTTCTAGGTTCTATGTAATGCATCCTCTGTCTTGTGTTTGAGCTGACTCCTGGAAATAAGGTTGATTATTTATATCACTTCTGAGTTAGGACAAGTAAAACTTTGACCTCTGCAGAAATAATGCATACATTTGAGTATTTCTTATTTCCCACCCTGCCACGGTACAACACGTTGTTTATTTCTCTCCAGATCACATTAGAATGAAATGTGCCATGAAGCACATAATGAAATGCCACATGTTGACCCTAGCAGTAATGGATACAACTGAGAATTTCAGCAGAAATGTCCTTGCTCAAACCAGAGCTGGTGCCTTGAAATATTAAGAAAAATTGCCTCATGAAAAATTAAACCAAAAGGGAAAACATAACTTAAAAATAAAATTCTAAATTCAAATTCAAATAGAAGAGTTCCAGTAAGCCTCTCTGTAATACCTCTGAACCCAATTTCTTGAAAAATTAAGGAAACATAATTAAGAGGAACCCAGAAGATACTACATTTTGGTTTCTAAAGTAAAACTGAATTCAGCTCAGGAGTGTATTTTTAAGAAGAGACGTGAAAGTAAAGTTTAAGACTTCATAACAAAACAAGGCAGGAGGTGGGAGACATTGGAAAGTACAAGGTTATTACTAAGTAGCCAGCTAAGATTACAGTCATGGATGTATGAATAAAAATAAGCTTCTAGTAGAAAAAAAAATATAAACAATGCAATTTAATTGAAATAGTTGATCATCCCATGGAATTATATTAACTATAACCTTGTAAGTTATTAAAAAACTTATCACATTTAAGAAAAAACCTGAAACTGCAAAGCTTTTTGGAGAAATTTTTTCTGCAAAGATGAGATCCTGTGCTTCACAATGACAGAAGTCCTGTTGTCACAGGTTGTGACTATCACATGTACCAACACAAATTTAGATCAGTTAACATAACATTAAATTAAAGTAGACAATAAACTATGTGTAGAAGTGGATCTTGATGACAGAGTGTGATTTCTGGCTTACAAACCAATGCTCAGAAGTTTATTGGAACTGTAATTCTCCAGGAAGAAGGGCCAGCTAACTGTTTAGGCTATTAACCTGCATGAATGAAGTGCAAATGCTTTAGAGGAAGTCCTCTGCAAACATCTCAGGATTGTACATAGGTGGCACAAGTTTACAGGATGTAGAGAAGAGACTATTTTAGAGAATGTTGGCGTGGGCTTCCTTGCTGAGCATCAAGGGGTGAGAGAGGAGCTGAAATGTAGTAGTCACAATTCATTTCATCACAGAACCGCTTTATGGTGTAACATAATCCAATATAATGTGGTATGACTCCAGTGCTATCAGTGAAGAAATTAGTGCAAGGGTTCCAAAAGAACATGGGGAAATACTTCTATTAATAAACTCAATTAAATATGATGATACGAATGGATCCTCTGCTTCTAACAATATTATCTGTTGATCAGATCCGAGGACAAATTTTATAGAAACATATGACAGGATTTCTTCATACAGTTGTTATCAGCAGTATTTGATGAACCAAGATACTGTCAGAGATTACATTTTATGCTCCATAAAAAGGAACATTCTGGACAAGTAAATGAATGAATAATAAAGTAAGAAAACATAGTCATATTTTTAACAGTACTTTTCTTGATCTCACTCTTACGTGAGCCTGGCATCAAAATTAGATGTAGAAAAAAAGTTTTATTTAATTGAAAAAGTGACTTTATTACCAGAAATGTTAATATTTTAGAGGTGTGTCATCCCTCTTGCTTTACAACCAACCTTCAAATTTTTATGTCTTGACTCTTATATAAACTGTTCTCTTAATGCAAAAGTTTATATTAGAAAAAATACAATTAGAACATATTTTTAAAAGTATGCAATCTATTGTCTATTTTAAAAGTCACAAAACTGTCAGTACTGCATCCCAGTTTTTTTATTGTACAATTGTGTAGTCCATTGTCTAATTTGTTAAATTGTAAGAGAAACGTATGAACAATGATTACTAATATCAAACTTGATTAAATTAAGAAGTTTATATTATATCACCCAAACCTAGTAAGTTAAAAACATATATATGTTAGGTGTCCTAGTTTCCATGGATTTATGTTACATTTTCCTGGATTTTTCTTATATTTTTGTTGCTGTAGAGTTCAATGTTTGTTCCTGGCAAAACTGAAACTGCATTATTTTTTTACTGATTTGCATCTGCCTAAGCGTGATGAATGTTTGCATCTTTGTGTCTGGCTTTTGGTACTGAGAGATATGAAAAAAAAAAGCCTTTTGGATAACTGACTGAACAGCCCTAAGGTGGGGGGTTTTTGTGTGTTTCCTTTTGTAAGGCAAACCATATTTTTCAGGAGAAAAATAACTTCTTTTTGATCACTGTTTGAGTTGTGCCAGATGAAGAATCCCCATTTTGCACCTCAGATGCATTATACATATGTTACCAGTGAGATCACTCAGTAGTAAGTGTTCCCCAGCAAGACTAAGGAACCACAATATCGCTTTTACTAATACAGGAAACACTGAATTTTTCGCACTAATTTTATATCAAAATGGAATTATTTTGTCTTGTTCTTGTCTTCTACAGGTAAGATCACTCTCTTTCAAAATCTTTGAAATAAAAAAAAAGACCAACAAAAAAATCCAAACCCACTAAATTTTTATGTTTTCCAACACTCATGACAGGGAGTCTGTTAGTCTTTCTCAAAACTCACTCAATACTTGCTTAACTCTTCTGAGTTATTCATAGCTAATAAAATTGTTATACCTGAGGAGAGAGAAAAAATTCTATACTTTTCAGGTGACTAGAACTGTAAACATTCGCTAAGTGCCATTATAAATATATGTGAGACAAATACTCCATTTTTTTATAATACAGATTACAGTCAT